AGAGGGAAAAATGAGACCTGTATTTCTAAAGCGTTGCTGTGTGTGCCACAGAATTGCTCAGTGTTAAGAGTCTAGAGCTAGAAATCATTTTTGAATTATTCCAAAAATGCTAATGGTAGCTGCAGCTCAGTGCAAACCTTAACTATTGTTGCATTCATCTCTAGTTCCTGAGTGAAGAGGACTTTCAAGGGTAATCCATCCTACTTTTTGAGACCCATACTTCTTTATGAACTATCTTGAGGTCACCTTGCAATAAAAAATCTGCAGGAGCCGGTGGGTGCCTGTTAATTCTGTGCCTGGCACTCAAGGTCATGCTAATCAGGCCTATTATGAATTCCCTGTACTCCTCCTCTTTTTGTTCTGGTTGTCCACTTCCTACCCTAAGCAACCTAAATTATATCGCATACTTTTCTGTGTTTCTTTCTTTTCCATGCAGGCATTTATCTTGGTTAGGGTTATAACCCACCCATCCCATCTCTGTGTGTCAAATTTCATCTATCCAATGGAATCCAGGACAAAAGCTTCATAAAACCACAGACAGAAGCCATCATTTCTTTTTCTAAGACCTTTTTACATCACTTTCACGAGACCTATAGTTAATTTCCTTTATTTTTATGTATTCATATACTTATATAATTTTTTTGAGACAGAGTCTTGCTCTGTCGCCAGACTGGAGTGCAGTGGAACAATCTCGGCTAACTGCAACCTCTGCCTGCTGGGTTCAAGCAATTCTTCTGCCTCAGCCTCCTGAGTAGCTGGGACCAGAGGCACGTGCCACCACACCCAGCTAATTTTTGTATTTTTAGTGAAGATGGTGTTTTACCATGTTGGCCAGGATGGTCTCCATCTCTTGACCTCGTGACCTGCCCTCCTCAGCCTCCTGAAGTGCTGGGATTACAAGCGTGAGCCATCATGCCTGGCCTATGTAATGTATTTTTTAAAATTCATAAGCTTCTTAAAGGTAGGAGCTCCATAGAATGTGGCTCAAGATCTTGAAATTAGTAAGTGTGAAATAAAAAATTGCTGAATAACTGAATGCATAATCACTCTTATTCTCTTTTACAATCACATAAAGTTTTAAAAGATCAGTTGAGACAAGTATATCTAACTATAACCATAATTATAGATATAAATAAAGATACCAATCCTTTCAACATTGAGAATTAAAAATAAAGACCCAGAAACTCTGGCATTATGGCATGACCTTCCAGATTCACATATTCAAGGAAGAAATAGTGCAACAGTTCACACTACAGCAGTTCCCTAAATGTGCCATCGTTGGAAGTAGGGTTACGATATTACATTTTACACAGAACACTTTTTCTATAGAATTAAAAGAGGTCTATTTGTGCTCTTGTTTTAGGATTCTCTAACACACTCAAAAAAATCGTTCTTGCAATATTAGTCTTTTGATATATTCTGTGAACAAAAAATACGTTTGAGAAACGATGCAAATTATGCCTTCTTCTTAAAAATTTACAACATAAAGTGATATATTAAAGATTTCCAAAAATTAGATCGCTTTTAGGAAGATTGTTTAACCTTGTTTTACATTGTCTCTCAATCATGATTGTCCTTGGAATGGTCTGTTTCATAATAATATACATATTCCAAGGAAAGGGTCTTCCTTGGAATTTTAAAAATTTCTTTATATTTATATAAAATACTTACATTTATATGTAAAATATTACTTCAAAACCCAAAAGATCTGTTTTAATGTCACCTTGAGGGTGAAGTATTTATAATAGTTTAGTTTTTGTTTATAAATGATCAAGGTGCCATGACATGAGTCGCAAGGCACAGGTAAGAGGTAGCTTTGTCCACTGTTTGTACCTGTGTGATGTGATACGGTTTGGCTGTGTCCCCACCCAAATCTCATTTTCCATTGCAATCCCCATGTGTTGGGGAAGCAACTCGTGGGAGATGATTGGATCATGGGTTTGATTTTCCCCATACTGTTCTCATGATAGTGAGTTCTCATGAGATTTGATGGTTTAAAAGTGTGTGACAGTTCCCCCTTACTCGCTCTCTCCTGTCACCAGGTGAGACATACCTTGCTTCCTCTTCACCTTCTGCCATGATTGTAAGTTTCCTGAGGCCTCCCCAATCACGAAGAAGGGTGAGTCAATTAAACCTGTTATCTTTATAAATTACTCAGTCTCAAGTAGTTCTTTACAGCAGTGTAAGAAAATATGGAACACAGGTAATAGGAGGATGAGAGGATGAAAGTGTTCCCTTGGACTAACACAGGTAATAGGAGGATGGGAGGATGAAAGTTCCCTTGGACTTTAGCTCTTAGCAGAAGTGGAAGCAGAGTTCAAATACGCATTTATTAGATTTCAAAATCCATTTCTGCTGCAGCATTTTTTTCCTTGGTTGTATTTGATTCATACTCCAATTCTCTCTTGAACAAATGCTCTGGTTTATATATACTCCACTTATTTTTTGTGATGATTTACAATTCTATTCTAAGTCTTCCAAACTTATTTATTATAAATTACACAACCGCATTTCCATAATGTTGTATAACACGCTTTGCTGCCTCACCTCATACCCTGTAGAACTACATTAAATCAACAACATGATTATGGCTTAAATTTGTTGGTGTTCTAGTTACAACATTTAGTTCCAAATGCCAAACAATAACCAAATGTGTGATAACATTTACAAGATAAATTTAAGTGCTTTAAATTTATATGTGTCATGTTTTGAGTGGTGCCACATAATTAGAATATAATCCAGTATGCAATAAACTTTTGCTGAAAAAAATAAATGCATAAATCATTCTTGTTCTCTTTTACATACATATAGAGGTATAATTATTAGGAATAACCATAGCAATATATCAATATATTTATATATCCATGTTTTCCTATATCTTGATATGTTTATAAACTGAATAATCTGTACTTACAAAATGTGATTGTGATAAGATTAGTAACTAAAATGAAAAACTAAGGGTTCTCCTGTAATAAATTTTGAAAGTGCTTTACTAGTAAAACCATCTTTCTACATAGCCATCCCAAAAATTCTAATGCAACAAAACAGCAAGAATAATCTAAGATCTGGAATACCACAATGCTGGTGCTATAGTTTGGACATGCTCTGTCCCCACAAAAACTCATGTTAAAATCTGATCCCCAGTGTGGCAGGGGTGGGGAGTCGGGGCCTAATGAAAGGTGTCTGGGTCATGGGGGCAGATCCCTCATAAATAGGTTAATACCCTGCTATGGAGTTGAGTTAGTTCTCACTCTTCTTAGTTTCTCTTTCGTGCTTCCCTCCTCACCATGTAATCTCTGTGCACCTGCTCTCCTGCTTTGTGCTATGAGTTGAAGCAGCTTGAGGCTCTCACCAGATGCGGCTGCCCAATCTTGGACTTTCCAGCCATCAGCATTGTGAGCTAAGTAAACCTTATTTCTTTGTAAATTACTCAGCTTCAGGTATTCTGTTATAGCTACAAAAATAAACTAAAACAGATGTATGCAAATATTTTGTGAAAGTAAGAAAGAAGGCTTGGCCTGGAATAGTATCCACATGAATTTATACAACAACGGTCAAATGGCTGAACATGAAATGCTCCTACATCTTTGGAGAAGAGTGGCCAAATGAAACTTCTTTAGGTGTAAAGCCCTGTCTTTACCACTAGCATAGTCAATATTTCAAATCCATGGAAAAGAAGGCTCAGTAACTCTAAGGATTTTGAAAGAAAATGTCAAAAGTTTGCCGAATTTTCTGGAAAAAGGTAAGTAGTTAGGCTCATATTTGGATTCTTAAATTTAGGATCACTGCCAAAATCAAAAAGCTAAATGGAGAATATTTGCCAACCCGTCTTTCCATTAGGGAAAGGTATTAATTAAGCAAACACATCACTCTTTTTCAAAGTAGCTAATGGCTCACTAAGAAAAAAATGCAACATCCTCTTCTTATAACGCTTCTCATGGTCAGCGTAGACCATGAAAATATTGGTAGACTGAAATTTGGACAAAATAGAACAGACTTCATAAGGAAGTCTGTTTATTCAAAGCCAGTGAGAGTATGTGTGAGAGTTCCACTTCAAAGGAAAAAGAAAATAATAGTAGAGAATGAAGTGATGGTGATCTGCTAAATAGAGCTGTTAACTGGTTGCTTGACTCTCCCCCTAGCTGAACAACATGAAAATAGCAATTCTAACAAAAAATGTGACAATATGAAAATCAGTGGAAATTATCCAGATACACTCTCTATATTCCTCCAGTAGGTATTAACGGCTTTTAGGCAGAAAGTATAAAATACAAAACTATTAGTTATTGTGCTGTGATACTAAAGTGAAAACAAAGGGGTTTTATTTCCCCATTAAATATCTTCCAGAAGGGCCAAATCTCAGAGTTCACAGTTCTGTTATTTCTCAGAGAGTCATTAGGTAGCCATAGGCTTCATCTAAATGGAATTTCCAATGTTCTAGATCTTTGCAATTAAATCATTTCTATATTTACTTTGTTTTAAATTAATGGGACAAACATTAGCACTTTTGAGTTACTGACTCACTGTTAATACTAGAGGCACTTTTCGTTGTACGACCCAATACAACAGGCAGGATTAGACCATGCCTCTTCTAAGTTTCCTCTAAACAAAGATACCTTGTTTTCAGGTACATGATGAAACTCATGTGAAGGTAGAACAGGGTTTGGTATAGGGCTGCTGTTAATGATGGCATGCAGGTTTTCCTAGTTGGTGAAGTATAACTACATAGTTTTAATAATCCTATAATAGGAAGGTATATATTTTAAAACTGCAAACTCTATGAATGAATGAAATAGATACCATCTTATTTTCAGGACCCCTTAGTATTATGACAATAAACTATAGCTGGTTAAGACTTTGCTACAACATGTCCCCATGTGATGCCAGTTGACTTATAAAAACCTGAAATACCTTTTCCATGCAGTAGTCATGAAATAGTGTTTGAAGGGAACACAGTGACACATAAGAAAACACACATGGGAAGACACAGTGAACCAAACTGGTGGTAAAAACATGACCTTCCTCCATAAGGCCAAATAGTTTTATTTTGATTAAACACTACAATACAGTATATATCCATTAAAAAAGAAAACTCTATAATGTATATAAATTATTCCTTCAATTCATCAATTCTTCTTTTCTTTTCCATTACAGCTTTGGTACAATGTGATTTAGTATATAATTTTTAAATACTTTTAGCATCACAAACTCAACACAAAGTACAAAACTAATCCAAATTAGGGATATTATAGTGTACACAGTGGTATTCAGTGGTAGGAGAAAATCTTACCTTGATGAATTCATGTCACTAGCTAAGCTATAAAGGCATACCTAGCAGACATGACAGAAATATGCACCATTAACCAGCTAACGTGTGTATTAGTCTTTGTTTATTTTTTACAGAATACCAGCAGCAATCATTTGAGTGTTGAGTGAATACTTAAGTCCTCAGCCTGTTCGCCCACCTTGTTCCTCTTCCATCAAAGGCTATGAGAAATATCTGAAAAAATGTACCACAGCCAGAGCTCTCAGAATTTGACCTGCCAACCGGCATTGCTCATACTCGCACAGTTTGTCCTGCAGCTAGGCGACACCACTGGGACAGTGCTGGAGGGGCAGTGTGGGCCAATCAGCCTAAGGTTGTTCTGAGGGGTGGGCGGTGTGACGTTACAGTAAACAGGCATTCCAGTGGCTGGGAGTGACCCTTGACCTGCCTGGTTAGGTAGCATGATTGGCTGTTGGTATGACTGCTGGGGCAGTCCTTGAGAACCCTGGGTCATTGGCACCTGTAAAAAGACACAAGCAAGAACCCTGTATGAAGAGGCTATTTTGAGATGTACAATAAGCAACATGGTGTCATAATAAATATTCAACCTTTTGAGTTCCTAACAGATCATCAATTCCAGCTCTGCCATTTATCAGCTGTTTCACATTAGGAAAGTCACTTAACCTCTCTGATTCCCTAGTCCATGGTGATAATGACATCCCTGCTTTAAAGTGCCATTGAAAGGATTGAAGGGATGGGGTACAGTGCCCGGCACACTGCCTGGAATGCAGTAGATGCTCAGAAGGTTATATTTCTGAGCTTCCTTCCATTTTCTCTTGATGACCTCCAGAAACTAAAGTCTAGATTTTTTCTCAGTTTGGTTTTTTCTCAGTTTGAAAAGCCATGCTCCCTTTCTGGTTTTATGGAAAGTGGCCTGGAGCCTTCCATAGTAAAATGGACTTTCATCCTGGGCACCTGTTAGACTTTCAACCAACTTTAGAAAACACTTATTGTGAGCTTGTAGGTAGAAGTTGATGCAATGTGAGTGAGAATAGTAGGGTACAGGGCCCTAGGATATGTCCTTGAGGGTCAGAAGCACCTGGAACAGTTAAATTTAATTATTATACCATTTCACTAACTCTTCATTTCTATCCTGGGGTATTTTAGAATGCACATTACAAAAGAACACATAACGCTTTTCTAATACTCAACTTGGGTTTGGTCCAAAGAATGGAGTTGTTAGGAACTATAAATGCCCTTTCAATGAATCTGAGATGTCATATTAAAATCTCTTATAACTTAAAGTTATGGAAAAATGAAGTTTATTTGGATGTGTACAAAAATGAGTGGAAATTTGTCATGAGGACTTTCTACCAATAAACAAATGCAATAAAATTTCTAAAGATCTTTATGAATGAGACTGTAGACCAATGCATTTTAGTCCGTGAATATGAAGTTTATATGGAAATAAACTTAGCAGGGTATTCAAATGCCACAGAAGTTACAGAAGCATGCATTTTCCATTTTCTACTTTTCTGTTTAAATCTTGATTCAAAGTGAATTATCAACAATTATGGGCCAAGCACCCACTACCCAGCCAACCACGCAAACCAGGGCCATACCCACAGCTTCCACTTTGGCAAGTGCTACTTAATAACCCAAAATTTTCCAAGCTGCTTATGTGCACCTGATAAGAAGACATAGTTGGGTAGGAAACCATCACACTTTGCATCGGAGTTCCTTGGTTATTCATCACGGTCTGACTCTGAGGTGGCTGCTGCACTCCTATTAGGCCTTGGAATCCCTGCTGACCAGACAAAACTGGCTGGTAACCTGGGAAGAAAAGAGACCTCTTGAACTGCTTGTGCCAGAATGAACACTGTGATGTTTCATGGGGTAAAGGGACTGGTTCAGGAGGCAGCCTTCAGACAACTCAATCTCCACATCCAGAATGAGTTATCAGATGTTTATTCCCTAAGAATGCATTTTTTCTTTTTTTTACTTCTAAGAATGAACAAGATTATGGCTTCAAAAATTCACTGACATTTCCATTGTCAGGCAGAATGGTCTATTGAACATATGTGACAATGGTAAATTCTTCATGGCACAAAAACAGAAAATTCTATTGAGCCCAGTTGACTACTATAAATTATACCTTTCATATTTGGCTTTTTCTTTGGTTTTGAGGATATTTGGGGAATTCACAGATTATCTGTCAAGATATTTTAAAATTAAATTGACTCATTCCCTTACTATCCCCTCTTCCTGGACAATCTCTTTTCACACGTAGAGACCACCAAACAGCCTATTCATTTTGGATGAATTTTATTTTCTTTGTGTTCTAGTGAACCAAATGACTCACTACCCTGAGGAATTCACAGTAACCACTGCCTTAGACAAAAAGGCAACAGCAAGTGGAAGGCATGCGATATTTTTATTCTGTTTCACCACTAGCTTCAGAGAGAATTTTTTTTGGTAAAATACTCCAAAATGTAACCAAATATTAATATATATAATAGATAATACAGAATACAATATTCAAAAATTTATCTGTTCATGTCATTGTGGGTGGGTAAGTTTGTTTGCTTTCTTTTTTTTTTTTTCCAAGTAGGCCAGAATTTATTTATTCTAGTTATTTAAATCCTCACTTCAATGAGTGGTTTAAAATGCATCCTTATAAAGGAAGCCTGTGGATTGTTCTCGTAAATGTTGGGAAGAAAGTTATGATTTAGGTGAAAATGACACAGTGGTAGAGAAATGAAACAGATTCACTTTATGCCGTATAATAAGCTTCTGCCAGAGCTCATACTATTAACCATGTAGAGTACCTGAGAATAAGTGGAACCACTATCTTAATACAATTCTCTGAGAGAAAAGAATCTTTAAAGTCCTAGATTTTCATAACACAAATATAAACTAGGTTTCACAATCAGATTTTTAACATTGAAACCAAAAGTTAAAATATAGCTAATCAATATGCATCATTAATAAATAATCTATATATTGAGTGCCTGTTAAGAGTCTTTATATTGAAGAAGGATCACATTATATTACAGTCTTTATAGAAGACAATACGTAACTATCCTTGGATATACAAAAATATATCTTCATTCATTTCAGAAATATGAAAACATGGCTTTTAAATAGTCACTGAATTAGGAGATTGGCTCAGTTCATCAAATGAGGCTTCCTCAGTTTGGAGAACCAGAGAGCAAGCTTAGAAAAAGGCCAGTTTGGGAGGTCTGGCCTATGCCTGCAATTGGCGAGTGGAACCAGTGTGTAATCTAAAAAGCTACCCTTTGTCTTTCCTTATGTGTCTCATTGTTTTACATTCTTATTACCCTAAATCATAGTGGTTTCAATTTATTGAATTATTTTAAATTCTTTTAAGACAGCACATATTATGAATATAGTTAGGTATAATGGCCACATTTCCTTGAGCTACATTCTGTCCACAGTTGATAGAACCTTCCTTTAATATGCTTGGTACGTCTATTTAAGACTAACAAGGGCTGGGCGTGGTGTCTCACGCCTGTAATCCCAGCACTTTGGGAGGCTGAGGCGGGCGGATCACAGGGTCAAGAGATCGAGACCATCCTGGTCAACATGGTGAAACTCCGTCTCTACTAAAAATACAAAAAAAAAAAAAAAAAAAAAAAAAATAGCTGGGCGTTGTGGCGTGCGCCTGTAGTCCCAGCTACTCAGGAGGCTGAGGCAGGAGAATCACTTGAAGCCGGGAGGTGCAGGTGCAGTGAGCTGAGATCGCGCTACTCCAGCCTGGTGCCTGGCGACAGAGCAAGACTCTTGTCTCAAAGAAAACAAAAAACACTAACAAGATAAGCTCAGAATTCTGATACCTACAGTGTTTGAGGTTTATATGATAAGGAAAAACCATCAGACCTGGGAACAAGAAATGCGATTAAGCCCATATTACCATTTTCACTACTTCTACTTCTCTGGTCTCATTTGCAGACACGACCTGAGAGAACATTCTTTTCACATTAATTGCAGAAAATAGATTTTGATTGTTTTTCATTGGCTAGGTCTTTCATTGTGATTCATAGATCCAATTGCCCTGAAAACTTCTGTGGCTATTTTATCATTTTATTATGACATTATTTCAAACCACATAAAGCTCTTTGTACCATAAATTATTATATACATAATAAAATAACTTGAGATGATCATAGAAAACCTATGACCAAAAAATTTCCCTCTGATTTAGTTCTATAACAAAGACCAGGCAATGTAAACTCACTCTCAAGTCCATGTAATTGTGGCTATAATAGGGCTGTACTTCTGGCTGAAAATTGAAAGCACAAGTTGAAAATGAGATGAGTGCCATTTGATACTTTTGACTATATTTATTCATACACTGAAAGGCTTTTGACCTCAATGGAGCTTTGCAGAATATATACAGCTACAATGTAAACAAACTAATAACAAAAAGAAGAGGAAAGGAGGGAAGGAGAAGAGGGAAGTGAGGGAAAGAGGGGCGGGTCACTTAGTGTCTGCAGATTATTTGTGTATTTCCTTATTGAAACCTTCCATCCTTTCACAGAGGCATCTGTTTAAAAATAAATTAGGTGGCCTTTAAGAGATTCATTTAATACACCATCTTCTAAACAAAATTTGTGTGAAGGGAAAATAATAGAGCTGTGAAGATATTCAGAAAGCAGAATGTCTTGCTTGGAAGAGGAAGCAATCCTTAATAACAAATAATATTTAAGGAGAGAAAAAGAGTGGGCAGGTTGGGTTGCCTCATCCCAGCAAAGGTGCAGAGCCTGTGAAAGCAGGATTCATCTTTGTTGCCAGCCCAAATGCAGCTGCCCTGCCACAGCATTTCCTTCTCTAGGCCTCCTCTGCCTGATGATTTGTGAACGTTAATATTCAGTTATGCATAGCAATGGGCTACCAGCTCTACACACTGGGGTTCCCATGGTAAACACACTTAAGGCAAATAAGGATTTATGTGGGGAGTGAGTACCATTTCAAAATGAAAACTTTAATGTAAGGAGAGCCCAATTTATATTCATGAATCCCATCCATTTCTCAATTCTCTCTCCAGGCAAGAAATTTACACCTGCGATGGTTTAATTGGGGGTACGCGTTTCTTTAAATTATGTCACAGAAGGTAGAGAACAGAATAGTCTTTAAAACGGGCAGCTGTCTGGATGTGAATCTGAGTTCTGGTTCAGAAATAGACAAATAGAAATGAAATAGCAGTGACCTACAAATGAACCGACAATGTCTGCCTGGGACACACCACCCCCGAAGGCAGAGAAGGCAGCACGGGTGGGAACTGCTGATCTTGTCTATTCAAATGAGAAATGTGTTCCAGTTTGTCAATTCTTAGCTGTGAAATGATCACTTTTTCATATTTATTGAGGATTAGCAAGATATAATGCATCTTACAAAATGGAAGCAGCAACAGTATCTGCCCCGTAGGCTCGCTACAGAGTTGATAAAGACATTAGCTATTTTTATTATTTCTTTTTCAGTCAAGATCGATTCAATTTTCAAGTCACATGTGTCATTTATTTTCTGGAGGTAAAAAGGTTAGGAAATGGACAAATGCCTCCCAGCAAACAAAAGAACGCACTTGACAAAGACCGAGGAGTATATAAGGTTTAAAATGTCTGCGTTGTATAGATCTGAAATGGAATATGTTTTCTACAACCATTGCATACTATTTGTAGTTTGAGGATATTCCGTTAATATTCAGTCAAGAAAACATTTATCTTCATGTGGCACAATTATGAACAATTAGAATGTAAGTTGATTAGGGATTGTAGAATGGCATGGCTGTGAGTAATATTATTTTAACTCTTATTTGAGTAGTTTGTTACAGTTGCAATAGTTTGGAAATAAATGAAAAGACAGACAAAATAGTAATCTCTATTTCTGCCTTTCTGTTATGCCTGCTGTTAGTTATGGAGGTTGAAACAGGGAAGGGAGTAGTGAAGAGAGCAAATTTCTATACTGAGCACGTTTCCTCAGAAGCTGGCCAATTCTCACAGCCTCTCCCAATCCACCCACGCAGTGTGATATACATGTGTTTAGTAAGGGAAGTAATCTTAATATGGTAGAATGTCTTTTCAAATGATTAGAATTAGCGAGCTGTTTAATATAAAAAACACATAAATTCTCTTGGAGAATTTCACAGGAACCACCAAAAGCCTAGCTTCTGAATCAAACTCTGCTTTTTACATGGTGTGAGGTAGAACTACAGTAGCTTAGCTTCATGGCATAGCTGGTGAATAACATGTAGAAGAAAACTGCTTATCCAGAAAAGCCCTGTCCTTTAGCTAAAGTTTTACAGTTTGTGTATTTTGCCACTTTACAGCATCTGCCTGGTTCTTTGTCTTGGCTTCCTATCAATTTTCGGTCCTTTATCTTCTTTGAGGATTTTCCATTAGAAACTAGCTATATTTGTTGATCACTTACTCTAAGCCAAGCAGCGAATTAAGCTCTTGTTACAACAATCCTAGGGGGCAGTCAACATTACTAAACTCCGCTTGCAGAAGAGAAAACTGACTTAGGAGGATACAGTAACTTGTTAAGGTCACACAGTTAGTATGAGGAATTGTAGCTAAAATTTAAGTTGTGGTTTTCTCACTTTGGCATGCTCGCTTTTGTGTGCTAAATTGTAGCACCATTTATTTATACATTCTTCCAGCTCTCATACACCTCACATAATCCCTGTTATGTGGCAAGTATTCAATGACTGCTTATTACATTAATTGTTTTCTCAATAGTTCAAACAAGTAAAAAAAGATAAGAGTTATGCTCCACAGTTTGTTGAACAAGATTTTATTAATAGCAAATAAAGAAAAACAGGAGAAATTAAAGGTAAAACATGACGGCCTGTCAGAATCAACTCATATCACTCAGTGACAGTTTGAAGGCTTGTTACGTAGAGAGTGAGGTACCAGGAAGACAGTTGAGGGGTGGGGTATGGGTGGCGGCTATTCAAACAGACCCCTTACCCTTCATTTACTTCATTTTTAATCAGTGATACTATAGTTTTTAATTACTAGGACCATTTCAAATAATGGCTTTCCTCACAATCTTTGAAGAGACTGTGTATTTTTTTCTGGCTTGTTTTCTCAAAATAATCTTAAATCTTGAAATACACAAATAACTTAATTCTACATTAAATATAAGATCAATTCAATGATTTGAGTGTTCCAGGCTACTGGGTGTCTCTGGGAAAGTTACTTGGCCTCTGGAAACAAGGATAGTATTAATATTATTTGAAAGATAAAAATAAATTAAAAAAAAAAAAGATACACAAGGACTGCCAAACCACCTGGGACATCAGATGAGGGCCTGGAGAAATCAACCTCCCTCAGGCCACATGGAGATGGGTATACTTTTGGAATTCATAGACTACTGTCAATCTGCTCTCTAGTTCTATGAACACTATGGATTTGTTTCCCCCTCCCACTTCATTGCAGGGGCACATCGTCTTTAAGACAGAAATATCTTCTTCTGTTGATAGCACTGTGGTGTTCACAGTAGCCTCAGGTGGAGAAAACAGATACACAGCTTGATATTTTAGTGTTGCTATGCTTTAATGAAAGAGGAGCCACTGCCTTATGCCTCAGAGACGTGGATTTTGGGGTCATGGATGTTCCTACCTGCAACTTCTCCTTCAGGTAAAGTAGAGGAGACCCTCCTCAGTTTCACTCACAATGAAGCCTGTCAGAACCAGGGATTCTTGGGCACAAGGAAGGCGTCTGATTTCACTGGTCTTTGTAGACTCTGTCTTACTCTAATTCAACTCCCAGGAGATAAATCCAAGGAATGACAATGTAGACCAAGTGGGGCTAACTTTGATAAACAAGGTGTGACTCTTTCTTTTGCCTATATGCCAACCTCCCAATTTGTGTAATCTAAAATCCTGAGTAGAACCTTTAAAAGAGGAAAGTAGTATAGACTAGACTGGAAGACATTATTTTCAAACATGCCAAGAAATTAAGATACAGTTTAAAATATATACTCTTGAAATCATAATTAGGTGCTGTTCTGTCCTTATATAGGAAGCAAAATAGCATAAAGTGATTCTGAAACGTATTTTAAATAGGATGTACAAGATATTGCTTTCTTCCCTTTATATTTTTTTGCTATTGAAGTTCATTATCGCTTCTTTCATCTTTGATGTAAAGTCTTTTTTTTTTTAACTTTATTTATTGGCAATTGTTTTATCCATCCTTTCTTTTCCTTACCATTTATTATTCACTGTTTTCAATTGCTTGGGAACTTGGTACAGGATGACCTGCAGGGAGCCTGCATGGGCACGGGGGTAATGCAGAACTCATCCTGGTAAAGACCAGTCTATCCAGATGAATTTGAGGGGAGCTGTGACAGGCCCTAAGAGGAACCACGCTTCCTGAAGCAGTAGTTTTTCTTCGTACTTCCTCTTTTGCTCATTAGCTTTCATACTACACAGAGTGTAATTCTTAAAAGCCTCTTTAGTGTCCCCCGAGAACCTTCACGGATGGGTCATTTTCTAATGGCAGTACACATCAGATGAACCATCCTATTACTGCAAGCTCGGGGCCTCTTCACTGCAATTATACTATCCTGATCCATGTTATCACAAACACAAAGCTGGTTTTCTTTCTTTCTTTCTTTTTAAAATCAGGGCAAACATGAGACACATTGTTAAATGACTAGAGGAATGGATCATGCACGGAATTTCAATGAATACCTCCAAGGGAAGCCAGCATTGAATTCCGTTTTAAATGGAAGAGGCTGTCATATTATTGAAGTAATTCTCTGAACTTTCCTGGCCCATAGTGCTGTGCTGACATCCAGAGAGCTTCAACAACCCAGAGGGAGAAAGACTGCATGAAAGACTCACAAACGTTTTACTTTCTTAATGAGGTTGCGTGGCGTAGAAGAAAATGTGGCATTCTTGCACCTCTACCCGCAGTGTTAATTATGGATATACTTAAAACCAGGCTGGGAGGCAGCAAATTGCTGCTGAGGCAACATTAAGTAGCTTTTTCCCCAGACCAAGCTTGGGGCAAAGTCAAGATGGAGATGGCTCTAATAACTGTCCCCATGATATTCCTCCTGGTGGATATTTTCAATGATGAAATGCTGTTGGCCAGCTGACTACAGCAAGACAATTATGAAGTCAAAAGTCACAGGGTCAACGTCATTGCGATCAAATTACTGTCACTGTTGCATGGCTACAGGATGTAACCTAACCTTGGCCAATTATACTGAAATGAGTACCATGGCCACAGATTCAATCTATAGAAACCCACCTGTCACTACAACCGAAATAAATAAATCAATAAATAAAAACTACTTCACAAGGAACTGATAAATTTAAAGTGCCCCTCTTGGGCCGGGCGCGGTGGCTCAAGCCTGTAATCCCAGCACTTTGGGAGGCCGAGGTGGGTGGATCATGAGGTCAAGAGATCGAGACCATCCTGGTCAATGTGGTGAAACCCTGTCTCTACTAAAAATACAAAAAATTAGCTGGGCATGGTGGCGCGTGCCTGTAATCCCAGATACTCGGGAGGCTGAGGTGGGAGAATTGCCTGAACCCAGGAGGTGGAGGTTGCGGTGAGTCGAGATCACGCCATTGCACTCCAGCCTGGGTAACAAGAGCGAAACTCCGTCTCAAAATAAATAAATAAATAAAGTGCCCCTTTTTATATAATAAAGCATTATACATTATCATTCCCAAGTAGTCAACCATAACCGTCTTCTTCAAGTCCATACTGGCAGGACTCTTGCTCAAACCTTGTTCCAGTGGTAGATTTAACAATAGTAGTCTTAGAGTGGTAGCATCTATTGGGAGAAAACCAGTAGTTTTCTAGGGCAAAGACAATGAAGACAGGAACCAAGGCAGAGGTGGTAGAGAAATAGAGAGAAAAGGCACAGAGAGTTATTTAGGATATGAACAGACAGAAACAGGAATCTGTGATTTCCGGTGGTATCACATGGTTGATGGACATGAGCATGAATTAATTGACTGCACTGTAATCAGGAATATCAGTAGTCTGCAGCTAACTGTCTCTGAAAAACAAAAGCCCTGATTTGTGGTGCTTGCTGATTTCTGTAGTGTAAATATTCCCACCATGCCTAGTTTCAAGGTACAAAGGGCTTAACAACCAGCTGGCAAAATTCCTGATTTTTAAACAGTTGGCTCTTGTGAGCCAGCATGTGATAGCTCTGGCATGCTAATGACCTAATACTCAATGTCAAGCAATCATATTTTCAGTTCACTTAAATTTTTGTCCCTTTTATCCTTTTTTGTAAAATGTTATTGACTATTTGTTCTTTGCCATTTGGTATAAGAATGTCCATAAAAGCCATTCACAGAGCTTACACAAATGGTGAAGACAGGCCACAAACTTGCAGTGCACTTGGAGAGGCACCTGTCTCAGACTGTAGAATCACAGAAGAAAGAGTACTTACTTCTATTGTGTATGGAAATGAGAAACACACAGGAAAAAGCTTCCAAGAGGTCATACTGAGCCTAGCATTAGAAGTTGAGCAGATATTTGCTAATGGGGTAAGGTAATGTGGAAATAATCAGAATAAAAGAGGCATAAACATAAGAACCAGCAGGTGCAAGGGCAGAGATACAAAAAAGTGTTCAAGAATTGTAAATACACAGATATAGCAGTAGGTTAGAAACAGGCAGAAGCAGAAGAGCATAGAAGTGGAGCTAGGCTAAAATCCTAGAGTCGGGAAAGGCTCTCTATACAACTGGAATGTAATGCTGAAAGACTTAAGGTGCCATGTAAGGTTTATAAGCAGAGCAATGAAATGATGGACAGTCATTTCATAAAGCTTCTCCCTGAGACACTGGGGTTATATAACTGGAACAGAAAGTCTACTGGAAAGCAAAAGAAATAATCTAGGGCAGAGATGATGAAGACGTGAAGACAAGGGTGGCAGCAACAGAGAAAAGAGACACATCAGAGAGAGACAGATGTAGGATGTCAACTGTCAGAAACTGCCATCTATGAGCTGCAAGGAGGGGGTGACAGAAATTTAAAATAATAATAATAATAATACATTCCAGGTTCTGATTTGGGTAAGGAAGTGGAATGCAGTGCGTTAGCTATAAATACAGAAAGAACAAGTATGTAGAGATGATCGGAAAACACATGAACAAAAAGTCTGGGGTCTAGGGCTCAGGCAAACGACCTGTCTTAAAGGCACAGATTTGGAAGTCATTAGGACACAGTTGCTCTTAAAGACAATATATGAGTATATATAGTCTTTGAGAAGACTGTCAAAATGAAGTTATCAGCACAGTCATATTCAAATATGGGGCTAAGAAAATAAAACCTGAATAGGAAGTGAGGCATAGTAGGAAACTTGGAAGAACCAGAAGAGAATGGTATCAAGTAAGAAGAGGTAGGGGAGTGTTTGAAGGAAGAAAACGGTGACAATGTCCACAGGTGCAGAACTGCCACGGAAGAAAAGAAAGCAGACCCTAGGTTAAAAAGAACATACCGGTGACCTCAGCAATAGCAAGGCTAGTGATAGGGACATCAGCCAGAGAGGAAAAAAAAATGCCTTTGAGAAGTCTGGCAGTGAGGCACCATGCTGGGTAGAGAAAGGAGAAGAGAGCCAGAAGGAGGCATAGCATTGACGGGATTTTATAGTTTGTTCTTCTTACTCTTTCAACATGGGACAAATGTAAAGGGTTTGTATATTTTAAAAGAAAGATTAAAAATCTGGGAAAGAGTAAGAAAATCTATGAACCTGTCATAATTCTGTCATAATTCATAGCATATTCAATATCAAAGGTTGCATACAGCCAAGAAGGCTGGAATTTGGGTGACAGGGAATTGAACTTTCTCTCTGAATTATCTAGTAGCTCTCCATGTCACCTTCTACTACTGTATACCTCATTTGATCCAGCAGCAAAGTGTCCTGGTTTTTTTTCTCTTGAGGATACAAGACAGCTCAGAGAGCTGATTAGGAGTCACAACCAAATGCTATAACATAATTCTGGGAAGACAACAGAAGCTACCCAAGATAACTTCTGAGAAGAACCTGAAATAAATATGCACTTATTTATCTGATGAACATGATTAGTGTTTTCTGAGCCACATGGAATTGCAATAACCCAGGGAAGACTTGGTTAAAGAGAAATGAGAAGTCCATGGTCCCACAAACTCTCCACTGCAAATTAATTGACATGATCAATTGATAGGAATACCATGCTCTGTATTATTTACTAAAATGAACCATCAACTGAAATTTCCATGAAGAAAGCGAAACAGGCTTCAGTAAGATGTTTTCTGCTACACCGTGGATGCATATTCTTTGAGCATATGTATGCACAAAGCACTAAGTACTAATGTTTTTGGGATCAAGTTTCCTTTGATTTTTCCTTAAGGTTCAGGTAGATAAAATCAGTCAGTTTTAAATGCCAGAATTCTATAAAAGATAGAAGGTCCACTTGTTTAACATTTCATTACAACCCAATAGAAATTGATTAGTTCTAGATTATCTAACGTATAGCTCATTGAAAACAACACCACGACTGAGTTTGATATAACTCTATGTATTTTACCCATAATAAATGTTTTCCAAGGAGACTTTGGGACTAAACATTTTTAAAGTTTTCATTATAGAGTTGGGGAACATGACATCTGATTCCCTGTTATTCTGTCATTTTATCAGAATTACAGCAGATGACCCCAAAGTAAAGAGTGTGGGCACCAGATGATGTCACAACCCCAAGCAATAGCAAAAGAGATACTTTCTACTCATCTGTGTAATCAAGTAGATGATGATTTTCCTTGGTAACAGCAAGAAGAAATGTCTTTAATCTCACCTAGCGAGGTATTGTTATTTAAAAGGGTTCTTTTATCTGGCTTCAGCCTTGTCCATACAAACAAATGGGCTTATCTTTTCAGCTGGCTGGAACTGGAGGCTATAGTCCACACTTAAATCAGATTTTATAATAATTAAAGTGAAAATAAAACTAAAGGACAAAGGCCCGTCCTGGAGACCCGTTGAATCGTCCCTCTAGGGCAGGCCGTTTCCGTCTTGACCAAGAAGTTTCACTCCTTTAATGTCTTGCTCCAAGGGAAGAAGAGAAGTGTTTCAGATCACTCCCTCATTCACTTTTCCCTTCAACTCAAAGCATTCAGAGATGATACTTGCATTCCATCTTGATTAAAAGTGTTTTATAAGCACCCAAATGAAGCATGAGTATTTTAAGTGGTCACAAACATCTTTTCTCAAAGTTCCCTTGAGGCTGCAGAGGAGCTCCCTCACCAGGGGACAAGCAGCTGTCTAAATTCTCAGGCAGAGGGATCCCTGTCTTTAGAGTAATGAGATAGCAGGAACACTTGGTCTAAGAAAGCCAGCAATAGTCCTCACATTTTATCCTTGGCAGGACACCAGGCTACTCACTGAGGGGTGCTGCAGCAGGTCCATCCACACCCAGCAAGGTCTGCAGGCTGCCGTCTCAGAGCTTTGGATTCTCACTGCTTGCCACTCAACCCAGCCTCACCATCTCGCCTGTGCCTCTGATTGCCTGCTTCCCCATTCAGCTGAAATGCATTGTTCCTGGGTCAATGGTTCTCAAGTGTAGCCTGCCTCCAAATAACCTCTGGGGCTTATTAAAACACAAATAGCTAAGCCTTAATGCCCAGAGGTTTAGATTCTGATTGAGTAGATTTGGGTTGGGGCCACAACATATGCATTTCTGATAGGTTCCCAGGTGATGCTGATGCCACTGGTCTGGATACCACACTTTGAGAATCTCTGCTGGGCCTTGGCTCTCACTAAACACACTGCCTTGAATTCCTATTTTTTTTGTTTGTTTGTTTGTTTAGCCCACTCATTATTTGTTCCCTAACAGAGTAAGTAGTGGGATCTGGCAAATCACACTATGTAGGAGACCATCTCTACTCTCTGAGTTCTTTGTTCTTATCTGTAAAATGGCACAATATTTTCATGAAAAGTTGTCAGAATGGACTAACATCTCTCTTGTAAGACATATACCAGTGGTTGAGCCCCTGGCAGTAACCAATATATGCGATTGCTCGTGCCTCATTATTTGCACACCCCACTTTTATGACGTTGAATCACATTTTATCAATTATTTAGCTCCTGCTTTTTAGGTGGATTGCAAACTTCTGGAAAAAGAGGCACATTTTATACATGTTTATTTAGGCCTGTATTTCACATTCAGTGCCTCAAGAACATTCACTGATGATGCTGATTAAAAAAAAAAACTGTCCTATTCTAGCCACCCCTCAAGTATCTTGCAATCAGAAAATAAGCTAGCAAATAAAAACTTGAAGAAAATGAATGAAGAAGCA